AAAATATGCATCACGCCTTGGTTTTAAAACAAACCTCAGCAATGTAAAAGAACTGAAATCACACACGACAGCGCCTCTGATTCTCATCAAACCCACCTGGAAATCATCGCTGAAATGCAGCAGGATTTTCTCAAGGACTTCAAGGCTCAACAGCGTAGTCCAAAGAGGAAACCTTGAAGGAAATGAAAAACAAAAACAAAAACAAAAGAAAATACAGCGCATCCAAATGTGTCTGCTACACTAACACAGCATGGGGGGACGTTCACACTATTAATGCTTGCACCAGAAAACAGACACTTGTCAAAATAAAGAAACTAAGTTCTTGAGAAACTAGAAAAGGCAGAGTAAAGTAAACCTCATACAGCAAGAAGGAGGAGAATATTATAAAAACAAATTTAGAACTATAGAGATGACCCAGATGGTAGGAGCACTTGATGCTCTGGCGGGGGACCTGTTTCAGTTCCCAGCACCCACACGGTGACTCACAACCATCTGTACCTCCAGTTCTAGGGGACCTGACCAGGTCTCCACCAGCATCAAGCATGAACATAATGCACATACAAACACACAGGTATATACATGCATACACACACATACACACAAACAAAAAATACATAAATAAACCTTAAAAAATAAATGTAAGCACAAAACTAATGTGAACACACATACACACACACACACACACACCACAGTTGGAGTGAAAATCCATGAAGTAAAATTAGGCTTTGGAAAATAAATTTTTTTAAATATTTATTTATTATGTATACAATATTCTGTGTGTATGCCTGCAGGCTAGAAGAGGACAGCAGACCCCATTACAGATGGTTGTGAGCCACCATGTGGTTGCTGGGAATTGAACTCAGGACCTTTGGAAGAGCAAGCAATGCTCTTTAACCTCTGAGACATCTCTCCAGCCCCCTGAAAAATAAATTTTTAAAAATAGACAAAACTAGGGTCGGGGAGATAACTCATTCAGTAAAGTTCTTGGCATACAAACATGAAGGTTTGAGTTCAGAGCTTTGCTCACATGTAAAAGCTAGGCATAGTGGCACATATCTGTAATCCCCAAACTGGGGCAGGGGTAGAGCTCTTTGGCCAGGTAGTCTATCATAATCAGTGTGCTCTAGGTTCAGTGAGAGACCCTATCTCAAAAAATAATGTGGAGAAATGATTGAGAAAGATCCCTAATGTTGACCTCTGACCTACACACACACACACACACACACACACACACACACACAACTGATGAAACTCTAATAAGACGGACTTAGTTAAAAGAGAGAAGCATAAGTGGCCAGTACCAGGAAGGCAACAGGGTCACCCCAGACACCACAAGATCAATCTGGAAATACTACAGACAACACCACACGCATTCCTCCGACAACTGAGAGGGTAAAAAACAAGTCCTCAAAGAGCATTAATTACCACAACCTACATGATATGAAATAGGCTCTTTGGGTAGTCTTCTTAGTTGAAGATGTCTTACATTTGTTTATGCTGTGGAAACTTTGTTTAATGATGCAAAGATGTGCTGCATTCTTTTATGTTGCCTTTGTTTAACTCCATGAAGCTGTGTTACTTTACCTGCCTAAAACACCTAATTGGTCTAATAAAGAGCCGAATGACCAATAGTGAGGCAGGGGAAAGGATAGATGGGGCTGACAGGCAGAGAGAATAAATAGGAGGAGAAATCTGGGAAGAGAAGGATAAGGAGGAGGACTCTGGGGGGCAGCCATCCAGCTATACAGCAAGTCACAGAGTAAGAAGTAAAGAAAGGTATTCAGAAATAGAGAAAGATAAAAGCCCAGAGGCAAAAGATAGATGGGATAATTAAAGAAAAGCTGGCTAGAAACAAGCCAAGCTAAGGCCAGACATTCATAGGAAAGAATAAGTGTCTCCGAATATTTATTAGGTGCTGGGTAGCAGGCCCCCTAAAAACTCAAAGAGTTAAAGAAAATGCAACAACAGTTAATTAATTGATTTTGTGAGTAGGAATGTTTTGCTTTCATGTACGTTTATGAACCATATGCATACCTGGTGCCTGTGGAGGCCAGAAGAGGGCATTAGATCTCCGGGGACTAGAGTTACAGACAGTTGTGAGCTGCTATGTAGATGCTGGGAATTGAACCTGGGTCCTCTGGAAGAGCTCTTAACCACTTAATTATATCTCTAGGCCCTGGATATTCTCATAAAGGGTTGTACCATGTGATTAAATGGGATTTACCTCAGGGAAGCAAGGCTGTTCCAGATCCTAACACCCCTCAATGTTGCCCAAAGAGGAAATGTTACAGGATCATTTCATATGATAGAGAAAAGGTAAGCACACAATTCAACATCCATTCAAGCTGGAAGTGCTCAAGACATAAAAATAGAAGCTGAGTGTGGTGGCACATGCCTTTAGTCTCAGCACTAGGGAGGCAGAGGCAGGAGGATCTCTGAGTTCAAGGCTAGCCTGGTCTAAAGAGCCAGTTCCAGATGCACAGAGAGACTTCGTCTCAAACTGAAAAATAAATAAATAAATAAATAAATAAATAAATAAATAAATAAAAATAGAAGGGCTGAAGAGATGGCTCAGCTTCTAGGAGCACGTCACACCTTCTCAGCACACACACTAGGCAGCTGGCAGCTTACTGTAACCCCAGCTCCAGAAGATCCAATCCCTCTGGCCTCACTGGGTACCTGAATTCATGTGCGCGCGCGCACACACACATCCTATGTCCACATAATTAAAATGAAATAAATATTTCTTTAGAAAAAGTAGGTGTTTGATTATAAACATGTGCAGTTTGATTATAAACTTACAGCGAACATCTCACACTGGTGAAAAACTTGGTCTCTTCCTCTTACAATCACAGACACAGGGCATGGTTATTCAGTAACACCCTGGGTGTTCTAGACAGTGCAACAACACAAGAAAGGGAAGTAAAAGGCATGCAGAACAGAAATGAAGAACAGAAATGGTCCTGATTTTCAGATTTCATACAAACCAGTGTAGAAAAATCCCAAGGAATCTACCAAATAAATAAATAAATAAAATCTAGAATAAATGAGTACAGCAAGGTCACAGGATTCTATTTATTTTCTTTTTTTTTACAATTACAAAGAAAGGACCAATCATTTTATTATTTATCTTTAAAAGGAATCTTAAAGGAATCACAAACTTTTATACAGCTCTACTTTAAGTCTTAAGGGTGTGAACCCACTCATCAATAGGTTTTTATATCAGGAAAGTGAGGATAGAAATGGGTATAAGTAATTAATCATCATCTTTGGTCGTCAGCCAATTCTAGCAAGAAAGGTACATGAGCTAATGATAATTGGGCTACTTTGTTCTTGTTCCCTGACGACAAGTTCCTCATTCAACTATGTGCCTTCCTCAAATTTTAGATTGTCTCCTTGGGTTTTTCACCTCAAAACTGTTTCACAAAAGCATCTCAGTTGAACTTTATTTTCAAAACTGTGTTTCAGCTATGGAGTGCTATGGGATTGTATTTCTGTGCCCCAGAAATGAAGACAGAAACACTCCAGTTAAAATGTCATACCATGGACAATCACAAACAATGCTTACTTGAAAGGCTATCAAACATGTACACATATGATGTGTGTGATACTGATGATAGGATCATAGTGTTTTGTACATGTCTGGTCCTCAGCCTCCAAAAATGATCTTAATCAATGAAAATATGTATCACATTCATAGGTTGGAAGATTTGAAACAGTAAAAATGCCAATTGCACCTTAATTAGAAGCATTTTCTGTCCACATTCCCAATAACGCTCTAACTTACATGGAAGTCAAGGTAGCTAAACTAGGAGAAACGGCATAACGAAATACATACATGCCATCTACCTAGTTAGGATGAAGGCTTACTGAATAGCAGCAGTGACCAAAGCATCATGGTTGGGTCTGGGAGGCAGCAGCAGGGAGGAGCCCTTGCTGGGTGAGCAGGAGGAGAACACAAGTTTAGACCTTTAGAACTTATAGGAAAAGGCCAGGCAAGGTTGTTCCTGCCTGTGACTTCAGCAGTGTGGAGGGCAGAGAAAGGAGGAAGACTTCTGGGGCTTCCGGGCCATCAGCCTAGCGCAAACACAGTGAAGGACCCTGTCTCAAGGCAATATAGCAGAATAATAGAGGAGGAAGAGACCTGGCATCCTGCTCTGGTCTCTGTGTTCACCTGCACAGATGTGTGGACACACACATACCACACACAAACACATATGTTATAGAGATTTGCATGGGTATGGATCTTGGTTTATTGATACAAATTTAAGGTCAATTTTGTTATACTGTGTACATATATTTCTGCTCTTGATTAAGGTATTGTGTTTGTGCAGCTCATTTTAAAATGTAATGTCATCTATAATAGTCAAGCTTGTAGATATGATAGTTAGGTTTTCTAGATGTACAGAAATGTATTTCAGATGGATAGGCATTCTTCAAACCTTTCAAAGACTACAAAATGGCATTTAAAATGTTTAAGAACTTAGGACTTTTCATGACAATGAGACACATATGGTCCTGGCAGCACCAATCTACTTCAAGAGGATGATGGACATCAAAGAAGCTCCTTATGGAGTTGGTTAGCCATTTGGGCAAGAAACTGTTCTTTCCTGGACTGCTTGATGAACTGGACATGCAGGACCCACAGAGAAATGACTGCTGAACTTACCTAATACTATGGGCCTGTAGGCTGAAGATGGATGCCCCAATGGTACAGAAACTTTGGGTGACTATCCTGGCAGCAAGATGTCTCTGTCAGTTTTAGAGTTTTGGAAGTTGCTTACAATGCACTTCCTGTTTACTCAGGTAGTATTATATCCTTCTGGAGTCTGTGATGGAGTTGAAGAATAGTTATTTTATAGTTTTATAACTGTTTTGTTACATGTAATTTTACTATGTTAAAATTAAAACCTTCTTTCTTATTAAACAGAAAAGGAGAGGTGATGTGGAATTCCCCTCTGTATGCTGTGAATATCATTGGTTAATAAAGGAACTGCTTTGGGCCGATAGCAGAGCTATAGGGGAACAGAGCTAGGCAGGGAAAACTAAACCTAATGATGGGAGAAAGAAGGGTGGAATAAGAGAGAAGCCATGTAGCTCTTGCTTCTTATTGGCTAACTCTTACATATGAATCTAACACATTTCTATTAATCTGTGTATCACCACGTGGCT